AAAAAATTTTTTTGGGTTTTTTTTAAAGTTTTTTTTTGTTTCCTTTTTTTTTTTTTTTTTTTTTTTTTCAGTTTCTAAAAATTCTTAGATTTTTTTTTTTGTTGTTAAAATTATTTTTAGTTTCAAATCATTTTTCAGTTTACATTTTTTTCTGCAAGTTTCTAACTATTTTTCTTTTGGACAAACTTCATGGCATTAATTTATCTCCATAAACTTTGTCTCCTGGTCTGGACTTTGACTAGGCCATTGCAACACCTTGGTTCCGGTGTTCAGCCGTCATCCTGCAGGTTTGGACCAACCTTGGTGTTGTAGGTCTTCTCTACCTCCTCCTTGTACAGTTTAATCTGCAGCTCATGCTGGCTGCGCATCTCTGCCAGCGCTTCGGCCAGTTTGCTCTCAAACTCCTGCTGGTGGCCGTTATCCAGCTCCACCATGCGGGACTCGTGGCGACGCTTCGTCTCCCGCAGCTCCTGGAAAACAAAAACCAAATGCAAAAATATGAAAAATACACAAATAAATACCTACATTTATATACAAATATAAACTTAAATAAAATTTAGTGACTACTATTACCGTGAGCTAGTAATAAGTAAAAACGACATGAATAAAATAAAATGTTAAATATTTAAACAATTATAAAAAGAAAATTATTATTAATGATAATAATAATAATAATAATAATAATATAGATAAATGAAAAATAAATGAGTAAAATGTAAAAAGTTAAATAATAAATTCTGTAAAAAATATATGTATAATTATTACATTTTATTTAATTATTAAAATTTAAAAATTAATGTATTTATAAAGAAATAAACCAAACGTATAATAAGTACATAGCCAAATAATGGATAAAATAATTATTATAAATGAAAAAATAGAGACATTAATGAAAAATGAATGAATAAAATATAAAAATAAAAAATAATGGAATGTAATGAAGTGAAATAAATAAATCATATTTATAATTTATAAATAAATAAATAAATAAATAAATAAATAAATAAATAAATAAATAAATAAATAAATAAATCACCAGGACATCAGGTCACACACTGATGTTACCTCAGAGTAAAGGTTCTTCTGAAAGTCCAGCTCCTCCTTCAGCGTCTGGATCCGGTTCTCTCCATCCACCCGGCGCAGCATCTCGTCCTGCAGCTGCTTCTTCGCATCGCCCAAACTGGCCTCCAGCTGGGACAGAAAACCCGATCAGAACCTAACGATCCAACAACATCCGCTCTGACACTGCCGGAGGGCCACCGTCCCGAGGCCCCAGCTGCACTGGGTCCTACCTTCGCCACCTGGGCCTTCAGGTCCCGGTTCTCCGCATCCAGACTGCGTTTCTCTCCCAGAGCCGTCGTCAGAGAGGCGTCCTTGGAGTTCAGCAGAGCCTCCAGGTCTCTGAGCCTCTGCAGGGCAGCCGCCAGCTCCGACTCCTTCTTGGTGTTCCTGCAACGACGAAAACAGCCGTCTGACTCTGAGCCGCTGGCGAGGCTCTGCGGAGAGCATCCGGTCCGGTCCGGTCCGGTCCGGACCCACCACCTTCTGGAAGAAGCTGCTGAAGCTGGGATTGTAAACGGGGGCCATAATGTTTGATCAAAAGAACAATTTGAAACTGAGAAAATTTTCTTTAACTGAAATAAAAGTATTAAAACTGAAAATAAAGAATGGAAATGGCACAAAAAAATGCAAATTTTCCAAAAGAGAAATCTTCAAAAACCAAAAACTTGATTGCGCAATACTAATTTGATAATATCTATTTACTACCTACTTGTTACTATGTTTGTTGCGCTTAATTGTAACTAATGTTGTTGCAATGGAAGAAAACTATGAACAGTTATGATAAATGTAAAAGTTTTTTTATCTATTTCCACATCAAGACGCCTGATGCCTTACTACATGATAAAAATACAAGCAGATCTATTTTTAACCCAGCATAGGCAGAGTGGGAGAGAGCCAGGCCCCGCCCGGCCACCCCTCGGCTCCGCCCCTGTAAAACCAGAACCAGAGGAGAGCCTTCGCTGCCGATGACTCACCGTCCACGGCGCTGGTCCCATGAATCCGGTAACCACAAGCCACAGCCGCTGGTGTTTAGTTGTCATGGCAACAACTTGGCCCCACCCAACACACACACAGACACACACACACATACACTCAGGTTTTCCCAATATTTATGGAAAAACGAGCAGGAAAATGTGCAGCCGGAGACTCTGCCACGTATATAATGATGAAGATGGAGGAGGAGGAGGAGGAGGAGGAGGAGGAGGAGGAGGAGGAAAGAGTTAGTCACTGGGTCTGGATGAGGCGGGACGGAGCAGATGAGCTGCACACTTTATTTCACTCTAATTCTAGTGTAAATCTAAATTTATGGATTAAATGTTAGCATGTCTGTGCAGAAAAGAGTCAAATAAACCAAAAAGAAATGGAAACTAAACTTACTAAACTTACTACACAACATATTTCAACCAGTAAGCATATCCGTAAAACAAGATTAAAGTTTAAATCCACTAAATTATGCAATGTTTGCTTTTAGTCTAGCACCATCTGCGTCATTCAGCAGCCATTAACCAAACCTCCAGGCTCTCCGATGTCTCATGATCTTCAGATACAGAAATAATCTTCTGTGCATAGAAAACATTTTGTTCACAGAAACTCCCATGAAATGTTTTGTATCTGTGAATTTATTTCTGGGTTAGAAGGATTTATTAATAAAAATGATAATCAGATGTTTCTGCAGCCGTTTCTGGGGAAACTGGGTTGTTTCTGAACGTCAGGCTTTGTCATTTTTGGTGTTTTGATTGAAATTTTTCAGTTTTAACTGTAAAAATGTTGATGTAACAAACAAGCAGGGGCGTGTTTAACAGATTTAGGGCCCCAGGAGCAGCAGGGCACCTTTAAATAAAATGAGGTCCAACTTTTACCAAGTTTTTCAAGTTGGAAAAATCAACTGTATCCCCCATGAGACTGGAACTGATCTTAAAATGTGTAGTTCATGAAAACATTGTGACATCTTTCTTTGTTACGGAGTGTGACTATGAACCCACCTGGCCTTCAGCTCCTTGTGGTCCTCCCTGACTTTGCCCAGCTCCAGCTGGAGCCTCGCCCGCTCCTTGGCCACCGAGTCCAGAGTCTGCCGGGCGTCGGCCAGCTCGGTCTCGTAGGCGGTCTTCAGGCCCGTCAGCTCCCGGGTCACCTCCGTCTCAGACTCGGTGATGCGCAGACGCAGGCCGGCGTTCTCCGCCTCCAGGAAGCGCACCTTGTCAATGTAGACGGCCAGACGGTCGTTGAGGTTGGAGAGGTCCTCCTTCTCCTGCAGCCGCGTGATGCGGTTGGGGGACAGCGGGGTGCTTCCGCCTCTGGGAGTGTTTTTGGGTGTCGCCATTTCACCTCAGAGCCTGTTGATGACAAAACGTCAGCTTAACCCCTTAAGGCCTCAATTCATATCCAGTAGTGTAAAATATTGTCATTAAGTTGGATGCTAAATTACCTGAAAATGACACCTTCCATTAGTATAGATTTAGCTATGATGCTAATTAGCGACACTAGGCTCTTAAGGAGTAAAACAGACTGTTCAGTCTAACTATGTACATTATTTTATTGATGCTATTCTCAAACAAGACTATAAATTGAATCTAAATATATGCTTCTGAAAAATCATTGCTTTTTCATCATTACAGTGTTTCAAATACATCTAAATCTCATTACTGCAGAGTTCCAGGAACTCCTCGTCGCTTTCTGCAGCAGAAATCACTTTTACAAATTCAATTTCAACATATATTTTTGAACAGTCATTGGTTTCTGTCTTAGTGTTTTCAGTTCAGTTAAACACTGAAAAATCCCTTCACTGTACTTTTATAGAAGCTTTTTTTTCCTCTTTCAAGATAAAAATTACACATGCTTGTAAAAAAATTTATTTGTCAATATTTATATATTTTCTCCCGACCCCACTTGGGACAAAGGTGTACAGAAAATGGATGGATGGATATATAATTGTTCTTGTTGATTCAAAGTTAAATAATCAAAATACCTGCATATAATTTACATACTGCTTGTTAATATTACTACTTGTCATTACTCATTTACATTCTCTAGCTGCCGAGTGTCGCTAAAAAGCTTCAAACCCAAATTTAGAAACAACTTTTAGAATTTTGGTCACATGTTCTATATCTTGTTATATAAAATGTAAAAGATACCAGTCAACCTAAATATATTTGTATTGCAGAACCTAGCTCAGGGTTTAGATTATTACCGAGTTTATCAGCTCAATGCGTACTTCCGCTTCCATGAACAACGTGTAGTTCACACTCTGACCACTAGATGATATCAAAGTGCCTCTAGAAGCATTCTTAGTATGAGAGGAATATAAATCAACCAGCATTTGTTGGATTCATCCCCTTCATGAAGCTAATTAGCTTCACTAAGTTAACTATTAATAATCTTGTTTAAATAAAAGTTTTGTCCTGCTCTTCTTTGCTTGGAGTAAATCCAGGGAAAATCTCACATCTTTGCTTTAAGGAGTAAATCCTGCAGAAGTTTCTAAGTCCATCTCTGCTCTGGTCAGTGCATGAAACACAAAAGACCTCGTTAATCCAGAGTCATGGGAGGGGTCAGCGACTCCACCCTAAAATGAAAAAAATGCAGCATCTCTGCACCAAAAGTCGGTTTTACCTTTTCTAAATCCTGCTAGATGAAGCGGAAACTACTCGTCGATCTTCCCCGACTTGTTTGCTGGTTCTTCTGAGTGTCTTCGGACCGGAGCACTGTTCTCCTGGCTGCTGGGTGTGTTACTGAGCGTCTGCAGATGGATGCGAGTGCCCGTGTAGGAAAGAATGAGATGGGTGGAGAGGAGGGAGGCTGGCCCCAACTTTGGCACTTGGTAGGTGGTTGTTCTGCTGTGGGAGCCTGAATGGATGAGTCACCAGGGCTCAACCAAACACAGGATGGAGTTTATAATTACACTAACTGAGTCAGCGCAAACTGGAAACAATCCTCCTCTTGGAGCTCTTGGACTTGATTCTTCCAGTTTTTTCTCTTTGAAGTCGACTGTAAAGTTTATTTAACAGAGACTTAAGTGAAACATGGGGCTACCCCTCCTTCAGCAGCAGTCACTCTCAGCAGTGGAGGAATTTAGCTTCACTCTTCAGTACTGCTTCAAACTACAGCATTTCAATCAGGCTGAGGTATAGACTTTGACTAGGACATTGCAGAACCTTCATTTTCCCCTCTTTCTGTCATTCTGCTGCAGGTCCGCTGATGTTTGGGATCACCTGACACTAATGCCAGGACCCGCCATGTTGAAGCTCTTAAAGCTGCAGTAACTTTTATGAAACATGTTGTTTTACATGTTTGTTGAAACTGTCATGTCACAACATGGCATCAAAATCAAGCTCCTGCCTTCTCACAGGCTAACTGGAAGTAACCAATCAGAGCCAGGGGGCGGGTCTTAACCCCCTGGCTCTCTACTAGCTTTTAGCACTGCCTATGAATGCTAGGCTAGTTAGCATAGCCTCAGATGACGGTGCCGGTTCTGAGCCGCGGACCACAGTCTGGATCGGCCGTGTCTGCGCTGAACCCTCCAGGGTGGCACTGTGGTCTCCCTTTTGTCTGGTTTTTAGGTGGTTCTGAGTGATCATGCCTGTTTTGGGTCCAGGTCTGAGGTCGGGTTGGGTGGTCTCCCTTCTGCTCTCACCGGGGTAAGTCCTTTCCTTGTCCAGCAGGTTTGGGGCTCTGTGCCGTGGCTCACTCCAAGTCCGTTTCCCCCCCCCCCGACCCGCATGATGGGCACAGAAACGCCAAAGCCGCTTCCTCCTGAACAAGCCGTTGTTTTATCCCCGTCCTTCTGCTGCAGGCCTCTTTCAGTTGTCATCCAGTTATAATTTCATTTTATTTTATTTTATTTTATTTAGGTCAGGACTCAACCAGGTTCAGTCCTTTCTGTAATTTTGCTGCATGAGTCGTTTTGCTATTTTGTTTATTCGTTTGCTTTGCATGTTTTTGGGGGGCTCCAATGCTTTTGCATTAATAATTTTTTATGTTTCGTTATTTGGGTTTGAGGATACCATTTACCTTTGATGAGCTAATGTGCAATATATCTATATTATGTATTTAGTCCAGTTTGTAAATTGTCTTTTATGCTTAGGTTGTATTGTTGTAGGACTATTTTTAACCTTTGTGGAAATAAATAATATTTTTAAAAAGTAATAATCCACCTCTCTGTGTCGTCCTGACCTGAAACTGAAACTGAATAGTCCTGGCTCTACAATCCCAGGTGGCGCTATATTTCACTATTTAAGTTTCAGACACCACTTATGTCACATAACGGTAAGTTGTTTGTCCACCATTAGCACATTTAGCAGCAAGTACATGAGAGTGATTGACAGCGCTAAAACTCTCGTCTTAGCAAAGTGACATGAGAACAAACTGACATGATTTCAACAAATATGTAGAAATCATAATTTTTCAATAAAGAACAGGAGGAGTTCAGTGGAGTTTGTTCCTCTACATGACGCTGGAAGGAAAGTCTCTGCGTTCCTGGTCAAAGGAAACATGAAAACCTCCCCAGACTTCAGTTCATCTTAGAATCTGTGAAGAATATATAATAGAATAAAGAATATCACTGCTGAAGTTTCCTTTCATTCTTATATGACACAGATATATCTCTCCTCATGGAAATCTAAACTTCACTGTGCTCCAGTAGTATTGCTTTAATATTAGTATTGATGTATTTGGATGATCTGGTTTCTCTTCCACTGTTCTGTGAAACAAATGTTCTTGTTGAAATCAGTTATGAATAAAGTGAATTGAAATTCCTTTTGTTTTGTTTTTATTGTGATCCAAAGAAGAAACTGAAACTAACATCAACTTAGAACAAATACTGTTTTCTTCCCAATTATTTAGATGTTGATCAGAAAAATGAATATTTGCTCTCTGGCCTTCTTCATTATTGCGATAAATTGTGAGTCGTGTCATCTAATGTCAGAAACATGTGCCTCATGTGATGCTGGAGAAGATCAGATACACACACAGGGACAACAGGAGCAACAATCTGAGTTAAAGTTTATCAAATTTAACCTTAAGATCAAGTTCCCACACTGGTGAAACATATTTACCGACTCGTTTTCTGTCAGTTTTTCGAACAAGATTGTTGTAATATTCATTGTTTTTTATCACATAGTTGCTTATATTTAATAAATTACTAACAACAGACCGAGTTTTAACAGAACCCCGGGAACAGAGCCGACCCAAACTGCCACTAACAATATGGCGGCGGCGGGGGCCTGTTTACTAATCTTCTCTCTCCCCCTTGTGTTTGCACTTCACCGCCATCTGGTGGTGCTTTTCATGAACTGCAGCTTGTTCGACGATAATGTGTCCCAGCTTTGCCTCCTAAAACCTGGGTATTTACCTCCAACAGAGCTGAAAACACGCCTGAGGCGCAGGAAATCACACATATCGGTTTATTGTTCGGTTGGGACTTAAAATGGACCCCGGCTGTCATAAAACTGGGCCGTGAGGAGCTTTTTCCTGGCAGACATGGCTGGTTTTTGTCATGTGGTTTGTGAGAAAACCCGTATTGGATCTCTGTGGTCACCTGAGTGAAGAAGCTGAAAAAAACCCACTGATGAGCGGAGTGTCAGCGAATTAGTGGAGTAAAACACGCCGAGTAGGTTTGTAGAAAAATATTCACGATTGTATATGAACAGAAAGTTCACAATCCGAGAGAAAATCCGTTTTATTCCACAAAAACCCGCAGAAACAGCAACAGGAACAGTTTCTGAGCCTTAAAATGGGTTGAATCAGAGTCACGTGGTTACAACAACACAATCTTATGTTTTAGACATAAAAATGAACATTTAGGGATTAAAAAAATACTGGTTTTATGCCGTCCTGAGGAGCGCAAAGGAGTCCACTCCGCGTCTTATTGGGCGCATTAAGAGTCGCAGTTTTGGCGCAGAAACAGCCGCAGAGCTCTTAGAGGACAGCGAGGACAAAAAGATCCGGTTCCGCGAGTTTTCAGCCAGGATCCGGCTTTTGTTGGTGCTTCCAGCCGCCATAAACCCGATCGGAGTGGACCGAACCCCGGACCGCAGCTCCTTCTCGGTCTGCCCGCTCCCAGCGCCTCCTCAGCGGCCTCCAGCTGCTCACCTGCCCGCTCCGCGGCTCACGTGTCCCGGACTGTCTTCCTCACATGACCCGGGTGTTTGTCCCCGTGATCAGCGCCTCCATCTCCGTCCATCCGAGCTGCTGAAGTTTCTTCCATCCTGGGAAGGCTTGATGGAGATGCTGGAGCAGAGCCTGGAGGGCTCGGTGAGGTGAGAGGCGGCTGCTCCGGTTCTTCCTGCCCGCCCTCAGGCGCTCTTCCTCGGCCTTAGCCAGGCTTCTCTCCCAGAGCCGCTCAGCTTTTAAAAACCGATTAAATTCGCTTTTAAGTGATGCTGGATCGGTGTGTGTATGTGTTTGGGGGGCTTTTGCTAAAACTGCAACCACTAACAATAAGTATTTTTATTTTATTTAGGGGAGAATAAACATAATACTGAGCTACGTCTATTTTCAGCTCCTTATGCACAAACTTGATTTCATTGCAACCCAGCTCCAGATTTGTCCACCTGGTGGCGCTATGCTAATATATTTTGGAGTTGTTTTTTTTTGTTTTTGTTCATTTCAAGTTGAAACTGATTCGTGTCTTTTCCTCTTCATGCTTCAGTCACGCCAAACAGGAAACAGAAGAAGTGGTGCAGCTGCAGGAAGGTGAGCAGCTCCACATGAAACAGCTCATCTGCTGCTTTTTACACCGAAAACAAGAAAATCTCAAATATAGTTTCTGGTTTTATTTGGTAAAAACATGAACACAGGCTGAGTTTAGGTTATTATCTGCATTCAGAGATCATGTCATGCAGTTTTCCAGGCCTGGTGTTCCTATTCCTTCTCCTAACACCTCACAGGAGTGAAAAAAGTAATTTATAAGACACAAATCTAATTATTTGATATGAAATCTGAGATAACCTCAAACCATTAAATTAATGAAATTTAAAGGATTTCTCTTTTGGAGGGAAATATTTATCATATTTGGGCAAATTACTAATCTTAGTTCCAGTTTAAAATGTCCATCTGGGGAATAATTGGTCCCCAGATAATATAATCCACAGGTTACATAATTAAAAAGACTGGCATTGATTTTAAAATATTCTTATAGCAGGAAGAGTTTTGAGTGTTTTGTCAATAAATTAAATTAATAACCTCTATAAACCTGATTATTAGTGTTTAAATGAAAACATGAGTAAATATTAATTCATTAAAATCTGATCAAGTGCAGCTCAATGATTAAAAATCAGTTTATTATGGAATGGCTGTCCTTCAGATGCCTGTTTGAAAATAGTATCTGTATTTGCCTGGACTGCTGACCAAAACCACTGCAAAGAAAATGTTTTTAATTGCTTTTACAGTAAATATCTGGATGAAATGTTCAGACTGTGCCGCTCTACTCGGATTTATATTTTCCAATCATTTCTGTTTACTGATGAACTTTGGATGCTGCATCCTTGGTGAACACAGTGGCTTCGACAACAACAAACTCAATAAGTGTTTACATACACGCTATTTGCAGTTTTACTCGTTTTAAGACGCATTTCTGCACAATTTTATTTTTATTTATCATATTTTGTACATAGTCTGTCTTTTAATACAGAAATAAACATGCATGATATTAGAAATACATGAAAAATGAAATAAAATTTTTAAATAAGAACATAAATGCCTTATTGCATAAAAGTCTATAACGGCATTGCTTTAGTGAATGTTTGATCGTCTGTAGCAAAGAATGCAGCTGGAAAATCCTAGCTCAGCTGATGTGTTGATTATTTATTGGATTTTTATCGTAAAAGGTGCTGAATTGATTTGCAGAATCTGAACCAGGTGAAGCTAAAACTGACTGAGTTCTGGCAGAACTGATCTACAGACAAAGAAATGCAAAATGTTTTGCTCTGCTGTTTTTTTGTTCTGTATACTCCAGTTAACAATTAATTGATCATTGAATTAGCTGATGATTACTTCAGTAATCAATAAATCTCCTTAATCATTTCAGTCTTAGATCAGAGTTCGTTTCTAATGACAGAACAGGATTTTTATGTTGTGCAGCAAACTATTTTTCTTAATCTTGTCTTTTATGCATATGTTGTTAACACTTCTTGATTCTGCTGTGAATCCTACTTGATGCTGAATTTCCCCAGTGTGTGACGATAAAGGATATTTCTGCTCTATTCCAACATGGCGGCTCACTGCACAATATGTCGTCATCCTCGTGTCGGTGTGAGGGATATTCACATCTTAAGACTGTTTGGAGAACATCGTCGTTTGTGTTTTCCGAGTGTCATGAACTCGTTCTGAACTCGTTGTTTCTGCAGGAGAAGCTGTCGGGACGGATGGACAGTCAGCGGTCACCATCACCAGCGTCCCCCAGGCCGCCTTCACGGACCACGGCGTTCAGTACCAGTTCCGCACCGAGAACAACGGCGGACAGGTCAGTTTCGGTTTTCTGTGTTTGCAGCAGACTGGAGAGCAGGCGGTTCTCGTTTGCAGAACCACAGATTAACTCTACGCCCCGTCTGCAGGTGACCTATCGGGTGGTTCAGGTAACCGAGGATCAGCTGGAAGCGACGGCGGACGCGACCGGCGCTGTCAGCGTCGTCTCCGCCGCTGCGTTCGCCGGAGCTCCTCAAGCCGTGGCTCAGGTGGGTCCAGAAACAACCCAGACGGCCATTACAGTGTTCTGGATCAGCACTTCTTCTTGAAGGACCTTGATTCCTTCAGGAACTCATTTTCATCACAGCTAGTTAAGAAGCTAGCTGCGCTAACCCTAAAGCGCTAACCATAAGCACCCCCCCATCAGGAGGAGAAATGTCTGTTTTCAGATTCCTTACAGGAATATTGTTAGAACATGATGTGTTTTAGTTTCTTGTTTTAAATGCAGTTAGTGAGGGAGAATAAAACACAACATGAGGAAAGGAAATGGAAATGCTGTGTGAACAGCCTTTAGCCCCTTCAGAATAAGAGCATGAGCTTAACTGGCTAACTACTTGAAGAATTCTTCAGTCGACAGCCAAAACTTCAACACAGATGTTATTCAACTGAAAGTTTACAAGTTAACTTAGGGAGAGACAGGTGCACTAAATATTTGCTTAAGTTAGCAAAATGCTAAGCTAATAGATAGCTCTGCTATTAGCAGCCCCCCGCTGCACATCTATTTAAACCCAGAAGATCCCAGTCAGGCCAGCAGATGATCAGGTTTTAGCTCCAACCAGCTGATTCCCAGAAAGCTAACGACCTCCAGAGGGGGGAGGCCGACCTGCTGGACGCTACAGGAGGATAATATCTGGACAACATTCCTGGCTGTCCTGACCTCCTCCTGCCTTTGACTTCCAGGCGGTTATCCAGAACTCCTTCAGTAACGGAGGCAGTCCAGGTGGGGACGCCGTTGGAGGAGAAACGCGTTTCGCTTATTTTCCCGCGGCCGCCGTCAGCGACGGAACGGCGGTGTCGGTCCAGGGCGCCGACCCGGCCATCACCCAGGCGGGAGGCCAGTTTTACGTCATGATGAGTCCGTCGGAGGTTCTGCAGACGGCGAGTCCTCGGACCATCGCACCCAGAACGCACACCTACACTACGTGAGTAACCTTCCCTCCTCCATCGCTCCCAGAAACATTGCAAAAGGTCAGGAGGTCAAAAGGTCAGGCCAGCGTCTCAACCCTTAACCTCTAAAGTGGCATTCCCAGGTCCATCCGGGTGAAAATATCAGGCGTCGTATTGTTTTCCTTCGATCCTGATGGTGAAACAACTCTGGTTCCAGAGTTAGTCAGGATTGGTTGCAGTTCAGGCCTCCCACCACCAGGTGTCGCCCTCGTGCGGCTTCGGGAGCTGCAGGTTTCCTCTCTGACCCTGGTTTGAAACGGCTTCCTGTGTCTGCAGGAAGGTCGAAGGTCCGCGGGCCCCCAGAGACGAGAGGCGACGAGCTCAGCACAACGAAGGTTCGTCATTTTTACTCCACTGAACAATTCCTGAACTTTTCTCCCAGTTTGGATGTAAATTAAAGCAAAAAGAAATTCACCCTCCATCTTTTTTTACATTTCCTTTTGTTCCAACAAGAGAATTTAAATATTTACTAGGATTTTAAGAGACAGACGAACACAAAGCAGAGCTTAGCAGTGAAGTGGGAGGAAACTGAACCATGGTTTATACGGGTCGGTCCTTGATATTCTTGAAAATCCTTGGAGGTTTGGAAAGAGCTTGATATTTGTAGTGAAGTAAAATCAAAGGTTTGATTAAAAGCCTGTATTTGGAAAACGTTATTACAGCTGAAGGATTATAAAAGTAATTTTCCCCTATCTGAAGTTAAATCAGACCAAATGTTTCAGGTCCGTTACTGTTGACCCTAATTACCAAAATCATTTCTATCTGCTAAATGCCAGAAAGCGTTTTCTTCAGATGTCTTTGTAACTTCCTTGGTCCAGTATTGTGTGAAATTTAAAATTTAGTGTATGAAAAATAGTTTTGTTGTTGTCTTGTTTACCTTGCTGTAGAATGTGGAATACTGTCTACAGTAATAAATATGATGATGTAGGGAATTAAAACTTTTTAGTTAATTTGTTTTGTTCTTATTGCCAAAGTGGAGCTGAAAACATGTGAAAACTCACCATGAAAGTCCGGAGTCCAGTTTTCAGGTGAAAGTGGTTTTTCTGCGTTTCATTTGTAAATCCAGATTCTGGAGGAAGAGCAGAAAGAAACGGAGTGAAGTTTCCACGGCTGACATTAGTTTTCTCTTGACCCAAAGACCCGTTTCTGCTCTCCGTCCACCGATGGAAACCAGTTCAGAGCCTCAAACTGAAGGAAACCGTCTTTTGTTTTATTTGTATTTATAAGTTTTAGAATCAAGAAATAAAATAAAACTTTTGTGAGAATAGAGGACAAATACATTTTCTTCAATGCAATATTATCTGTGGAAAATTTATTACAGAAAAGCAAATTCTCCAAACTAACAAGAAAATTAGATGTAAATATGTATCGTTATGTTTTTGTCATTCTGTTGTGAAAACTCAACAAAATTTCTCCCTGAAAAACGGACAAACTTGCATTTGTTATATTTAAAACCAGAGCCCAGTTTCAGCCCAGCCCACAGCATGATGCTGCCACCGTGTTTTACTGCGGGAATGTTGTGTTCAGGAATAAATATTAAAAACCTCTGCACTAAGTTGTGTTGCTCTGTCACATAAAATCCCAACAAAACCAACTGAACATTGTCATTGTGACCGAATTTCACAACTAAATGAGAGATGCACCGATCCACGTTTTACCGATATCTGAGGTCCAGAATCGGCCGATACAGAAACTTAATTACAAATTCATTCGCCAACTCTGCACCAGCACATCACACTTAAATACACCGATATCATCTCTCGTTTGGTCAAACGTGCAAAAAGGTCATTTTATTTCTGTAGCACATTTTCAGCAATCAGGCAGTTCAAAATGCTTTAAACAACTTTAATTTGTTCAGTCAGTGAAAATCAGAGAATAACAGCCAATTTACAATAAATAACAAAGAAACTGAAACTGTAAGTCAAAATTAAAAAACCTTTGAAGTGGTTAAAAAGTGCAAATATAAAGTAAAATAAATAAAGCATAGAATTAGACTGAATAGATCTGCTGTGATGGATCGGGCACATTGATCTAGAGTTGTGTTCAATATTGGGATTGATATAGATATGAATGTCGGATCAGTGCATCTCTAATAGAAATAATCTGTAACTGAAGTTAAAGGTTCCCTCATTTTGCAGTGGAGCGAAGAAGACGAGACAAGATCAACAACTGGATCGTCACGCTGTCGAAGCTGATCCCGGACTGCAGCGTGGACACCAGAACCGGAGCGGTGAGTCTGCCGGCGCCGACCCGGCCGGCGCCGACCCGGCCGGCGTTTCTGACGATGTGAATCTGTGTGTCGCTCAGAGCAAAGGAGGCATCCTGTCGAAGGCCTGCGACTACATCCGGGAGCTGCGGCAGAACAACCAGCGGCTGCAGGACGGCTACAAGGAGGTGGAGCGGGTGGAGATGGACAACGAGCTGCTCAGGCAACAGGTGAGCCTGCAACCGGCTCAACCAGGGGTCAAAAGGTCACGGGGTCCAAATCCAGTCCAGCTTCATTACACAAGGTTACATACGCCGTGTTCCTCGCTGTCTGAAGTCAAATCTGACCAGACTTTTCTTGTTCCAGTTCAGAGTCAGAAAAATAATTTCCATTTGAGAATTTAGTTGCTGGCTGTTTGGCAGCATTAGACCCGTCACAATTACTAAGATTGCTGGCCGATTAATTACCCAGAAGTTATGGTGATAAACGGTAACGTTGTTGTTTTGAGACCATTTTCCAGTAACGGCATAATAATGCAAGAACTCGTTCTCAAAGATCAATAAACTTTAAATTCTAATGGACATTTAACACAGGAACTAGAAGACATGTTAAATAAATAAAACAGACGACAAATAAAATTCATTATGAGCAAAATTATCCTCCAAAGAAAAAGTGCCAGTTTCAAAATTATGCAGATGTAAATTATTGAGCTCTTTTAATCTATCATGTGATTTATTGCTTATTGTAACAGGCCTTTGCATGCATTTACTCTGCCAGGCACCAGAACCTGGTTATCCACATGAAGAGTTTCTACGTTCTTTACAAATCGTTTAAACATGATTGCATGCGGCTGTGAAGTTCCTCCATGGTGCAAAAACTCTTCATGTTCACCAAGTCATGAATTATGTCATAGTGAGATCAGAGGCGGCTTGTCCACGTCGTCTGACACGTTTCCATTCTCATTCCCCGTCAACCCGACAGCAGCCATTTTGTCCTTGATATTCTTGAAAATCCTTGGAGGTTTGGAAAGTGCTTGATATTTGTAGTGAAGTGCAATATAAGGTTTGATTAAAAGCCTGAATTTGGAAAGCTTGACACTCATTGGCCAAGAGTGTCGAAATATTTTCTTTCTGCTGGTCTGGAAGCCATGGTTCATCTTGCCTACCAAGATGGCGCTGGTCACTCCGGTTCAGAGGTTTTGCGTCAGGCCTACAGAAAACTTCAGATCATCTTAACGATGGCTGAGAGTTTTGGTGTTTGGTTTCAGATGGAGGAGCTGAAGAACGAGAACGCTCTGCTCCGAGCGCAGCTGCAGCAGCACGGCGTGGAGGTCAACGGGGACGAGACGCCGCAGTGAGCGCTGGACCCCGCAGCACCAACACGACCCCCTTCATCCTGGTGGAACCGAGCCGGACCCAGAGCGGGGACGGTGCCGCCCCTCGCCCCGACAGCTCTTCACCTGCGCACGGCTCCCAACCTCCTCATCTCGGCTTCTTCCTGCACTCCGGCTACTGGTTGTGACCTGGACGCTGAGACGCCGCTGGACTCTGACCGGACCGCTGGACTCTGACCGGGCCGCTGGGCTCTGACCGGGCCGCTGGGCTCTGACCGGGCCGCTGGGCTCTGACCGGGCCGCTGGGCTCTGACCGGGCCGCTGGGCTCTGACACAGATGAAGGCTTTTATTTTTAGATTTTGTTGTTGACGTAGCTCAGGTAACGGGACGTGGAGAACCTCAGTAGGAAGTTGGGTTTCGTCCCTGTTGGATGAAGTGTACAGAAACTGATCTCTCTCTGAGACGACTTTTAGCGTTCCTGCTCTGTCTGCTGGGCATTAACTGATGCCGTTAGTAGAACCTCGCCTCGCCAGGACCGGCGGGTTTTCGCTCTACAATCTGGGATCAGCTCCTCCAGCCGTACTGACGACTAACGAGCTTCTGTTCACACTGAAAGTCACGGCGGCTTGGATGCAGAACCACTGGCATGACTAATCCTGACACAATAAAACAGACGTATTTATGTCTGACTGAATCTCTCTTCAGGTTTTCAGGAAAATAGCAAAGAAAAATATATCATCATCACCATCTTGCTTGCTGTTGGGCTGAAGATGACCTTTGACCCCTTCCCATGTTGATGGACAGCAACAGTTGCTTCTCTGAGGTCATTGCTGACGTCTTTCCCTCTTGGTGTTGGGTTACATGAAACCTTTGAATTCATTTTATTAGGAAACAAATGATTTACTTCCAGGTTTGGCTCAGTAAGTCCAAGATAAACATGAAAAACAGCATCTTTATATTATTCATGTAATTGCTGTCTGATTGTAGACTGCACTTTCATTTTAATTCAGTTTATTTATATAACACCAATTCACATTAAATGTCATCTCAGTGCACTTTACAACAATCATACTTTCTTTCCAATTAATCCGAGTCATGAGTTTTGAAAAGTTTTCTAATTCTTCTGACTGAACACGCAGCGACAGTAGAGAGGAAAACTCACCTTTAACAGGAAGAAACTTCCAGCAGAACCGGAACCAGGCTCAGTGTTGGCGGTCATCTTTCACGACCGACTTGGGTTGTGACAAGACAGAACTGATGCACAGAAAAACACAAAAGCACTGATTCAGGAAGAATTAAAAATTGGACAGCAGTAGGAGAATGAAACAGAGCAAAGAAAAGTGGACAATCAGTCCACAGTAAAGAATCTAACATCCAACTCAAAAATGCAGAAAGATGCAATCAAAGATTAAACTGAATTTTGAATTTTAAGAATGTAGTGTTTAATCACTTGCTAACTTCCAGTTCATCATTGTGATATATGTAGGAAACTTATCAGTTAATGGTGGATATAAATACAATGTCAACAGTTAGCATAGCATTTCCCAAATCTGGCCAAACAAAATCCTCCCGAGGCCCGCAAACGGCCCGAGGACCAGACATTGAACACCTGTTGGCTAGACCGGATGTCTAACATAGCATAGCCATGTACAGATTAGCTTGTAACCGTGCTATGGAGCTAATGTCGGCGCCTCTCCAGAGGTGAATGTTCTGAAAGGTCCATAAAACCCAAACTGACCGAACATGGCTCTTATTCTTCTGTAGTCGCTCGGTTTTGGTCTGATAAACGGGTTTAAATAATTTACGCGGCGTCATGACGTCTCTCTGTGTCGGCTCGTTGCCTGGAGACGGCTCCCGCTCCTGTGGCCGTTGCTATAGAAACGCCGGACCCGAACGCGCCGCCATCGGGTCAGAACCTTCTGGAACGAAGGTGAGTTAAAACCCAGAAAAATGAGCCTTTTGGGTCCAGTTTAGGGCCGAACCAGGGAGGTTCTGTGTTGCTGTAGAACTCCGGGGACAGTTTGGACTCAGACAGGTAAAGTTCTGATGGTACCATTGACTTTATAAAGTTGGTAACTTATTTATTATGTGAAATATTTAAGATAATTTTTTGCTCCATGTACAGTACCAGTGATTGGACATCAGAAATCAGTTCTTGTTTATGTTTGGGGTTTACATCGACAAGTTACTGTAAAAAAAGTGATCAGATGAAAAATAGTTCATTTTAACCTAATCCAATAAACATTTTGTTTTGTTCAAGTCAAAAATACTCTGTTGAATCTGGTAACAGCTCAGCTATCAGTTCATATTTATAGTTATTATCTCCGAGTCTGATGAAAATATTGGTGTCATATCAGATTCACATTTTACCAATAATAGTCATCAATCAAACAACACTTGACAGAGAGAGGTTCTCCGGACTAAAGGTTCGGAGAACCGCCATAATCAGGTCCCAGTACAGCACATCTCAGCGAAAAGGCAGTTCAAGTGTTTTAGGTCACAAAAACACGAGAATAAAAACAACATGGAGACAAAAACTTTATGAAAAGTCAGAGCTCAGGTTTCCACCAGTGCAGAGCTTGCTCAGAAATGACAGTAGGGACGTGGAGGCCTTTAGGCACAACGTCAAGAGAAGGAGCAGACAGACTGCATTAGTGAACATCAGTATCTACGGCTCCACATGCAGAGAGTGTTCAGGATGCTAATATGTCAGGGTTTCTCCAGGTCTGGAGTCGGCACGCTGCAGCAGGATGTCTGCTCTTTCATCGAAGCCCAGCCTGCGGCACAGCGTCTCAGAGTGGCTCAGCAACAACCAGCAGCTGGCCGCCACCGCGCAACGCGAGCGACACGTTTCCCACGAGGTCCGGCAGGAGGGCCGGACGCTGCGCAACGAGACCCACTGCAAGGTGGGGCGTCCAGGGTCACGTTTAGGGTCTGGACTGCTGAGAACAGTCTGAGGAGACTCGGCTCATTTTAAACATTTAGCTTTATAGTTCATTTCTTTTTGTATTTTTTATTTGGATCAGTTTTATGGGGTCTAATTTGTAAAGATACAGACAAAACCCAGTCATACCTTATATTAGTAATACATCAAACTCACATTATGCTTCTCAGATGTTCATTATTACATGGACTATAAATATGGGAGCTCATTTTTCAGTCATCTTTTCACCATGTTACTCTTTTATAAATGTCAATTTCAAGCTACATGCTGTATTTAGTTAGCATGCTAAATATTTATCTTCAAGCTAAATTTTTTGTTAAATAAAATATATAGTCTACTATATATGTAACTTGCTAACTGATTAAGTAACTAAATATTTAGTATCTAGCTAGAAAGCTAATATTTAATTTGGAGCTAAATATTTAAATCAGACTTAAATATTTAGCTTGTTAATCAAGTATTTCATTTGAAACTAATGTAAATTAACATTGAGAAAATATGATTTTGCAAAATTAACTTCCATCTTTTCCTCTTATGACAGACTGAATCAGTCCAATTATTGCTGATCATTTTTAATTGTGTAATTTGACGCTCAAAGCCACAGTGACTGACATCAGAGCTGCGGTTCCTCCTGCAGGGGGCCAGAGTTTCAGCTACCTGGCTGGATTCTCCTTCATGTTTCTGTTGAATCGTGGAGCTTCTCCTGCAGTAAACGACTGACCCGCTTTTCGTCTGCATGTGCAGACGGTGTGGGATGAGGGCGACACGTCTCGCAGGCTCAGCGATCGGATCTGGGACGTTTCCCGGTGGAGAGACGTCCTGGAAATCTGTGCCCAGAAGGTGGACGAGGAGATGGAGGCTCTGACTCTGGTGATGGATCAGAAACGTTTCTCAGGTTTTGTCCCCACATGTTTCTCATCATTCTGTGTTTCTGTGCCGTTCCAGTCCAAAGAGCGGAGCGAGCTGGCCCTGACCGCCGCCTCCGTCCCCCTGGAGGTCGCCAACGAGTGCCTGACGCTGAGGGAGGGTCGGCGCGGCTACGAGCTGGTCGGCGACCCGGTGGAGGCGCAGCTGAAGCAGGAGGCGGAGCTGATCGAAGGCGTGCAGCAGCGTCTGCAGCGCAGCGTGGACCAGGCCTTCGAGCAGCTGGGGTGAGTCCTGCTGAGGGTCCGGCGCCACGCCGACCCGACTCCTGCCTCCGACTGACGCTCTTCGCTCTGCCGCACAGCGTCCTGCAGGAGGTCCGACACCAGCTGACCTCTGACCTCCAGAACAAGATGGAAGCTCTGGACATCGACACATCCTGCCTGTCCCTCACAATAAAGTCACCGAGCATCTCCCTGAAGACGAACCCGACCCGGATACCGTCAGGGTGAACCGTGCAAGTCCTGAAACGGCTCTTGGTCCCTGATCTCCATTTCAGTTGTAGGACAGCTTGGCGGCCATTTGAAGCTCCAGCTCTGCTTCTGTTTGAAGCTCTTTGAGACAGTTGTTCATCTTTTGCTGCAACTTGGTTGGATTACTGAAACTCTTTATATAAAAGGTTCAGATCAGCATCATTTACAGTTTCAGGACTAGACGAATGAGAGCACTAAGCCTGTGGTAGAAAGCCATAAATCCATCGCATGAAAAATCTAACTCAATACCGATTCACATGATTTGTTTTCTCTTTCTAGAAGAGAAAAACTTTCCTCAGCGTATAACTTCAATAACTTCGGGGACAATTTAAATTTGTTATGGTGACGGGCCGACATCCAGCGGTGTTGACTGGCACTGAATTCATTTCAAAGTTTTATTGCTGGTTCTTAGAACTTCTTATTGTAAAGACACATCGACTTTCTCCAGCCAGATCTTTAAGGTCAAGTGATGAAAATGTCCCTCGGTTCAGATTTGTGCCTTTTCTGTATCGGCTCCTGATTTATGGAATAATCTGCCTTCTTACATCAGGTCTGCTCAAGGCCTTGATGATTTTAAAGTGCTTAAGACCCGTTTTTATTCTACAGCATTTAAATCTGATTTATTGTGATTGTTGTAAGTTCTTTCATCAGAAATCGTGTTCTTATTGAAGTCTGTACAGCACTTTGGTGCAGCTTGTGCATTTTACATTTAACTCTGAGAACTCTACCTCTGCACAGCTGACCTGATGAAATGTCCTCCTCGCTGCAGTTCCTCCAGCCCCCAGCAGTGGGCCCAGTTCAGCCAGTATAACGTGGCGCGAGCCCACGAGGCCGTCCACGTTTCCCAGCAAATGAGGGAGAACATGAGCCTCAGCAGAGCACAGGTGGGAGATGTGCAGCTACTTACTCCTTACACACAGCAGGGGGCGCTCTAGACAGAGTGGAGAGCACTAGGTCAGATTTACAGTGTTTGAATGATTCTGTATTAATGTGACAGACTGACACAAAGCAGAGCGTTAGATTATTTACTCTGCTGCAGCAGATAATTCAGCTAAATCCTGCACAGGAACCTGACTTAGCCCAGGAAACAGCTGTGCCTTAGGATCAAAACCAACTGAAAAATTCAAGATGGCCGTCAATGAATTAATCAATCACGGTTTATAAGTTTTATTTTATTGTCATTGCACAAAGGAGAACGGGTTGTGCTCTGATCATTTACGGTTCTGTTTGCTTATTGCAGGTCCAGAATGAGTTGGAGGCTCAGCGCCGAGCCACAGAGTTCGCTCTGCGTAAGCGGAAGCACCACGAGGAGCAGGCCAGAGAGGAGCTGCAGTGGCAAATCAAAACCGTACGACAGCAAACAGGAAAGTTACGTTTTTAACCATTCAGATGTTCCTGATGCGTTTCTGTCTTTCTGCTCAGACCGAGGATGAAATGGCAGCCATGGAGGGCGACATCCGTGGGCTGGACGCAGACCTGCAGGCCAAGACGGCCTCCCTGAAGCTGGCTCACACCCGGCTGGAGGCCAGGACCCGCAGGCCCGGCATGGATCTGTGCCGCGACGAGGTCCGTGAAGCCCGGCTCGCTGGCCTGTCCCAGGGAAACCTCTAAGCTTTCCCTGGTGTTTGTTCCCAGGTGCAGCACGGCCTCGTTGCTGAGGTCCAGCAGCTGGAGGCCACCATCCAGGCCCTGAGGCAGAAGCTGTCAGACGCTCAGTGAGTCCAGGAAATTAGTGTTGCAGCACAAATTCTATAAGTTTACCAATGATTATCACAGGAGCGGCTTTTGGACCTCAGTACCTGAGTCAGCGTAGTCTTGTCTCTCAGACTCTCTCTGCAGAAGATGACGCTCCACCACAGCCGCATGCGCCAGGATCTCTCCAGAAAGCAGGAAGCCCTGTCTCTGGAAGAGCGCAGCATGCAGTGCAGGACCCGCATCACGTCGCAGTCCGGCTCCGACCGGACCGCGGTGCCGCTGGTTCCGCTCGTGAACTCCAGCGGGAGGAGCAACCTTCAGCTGCTGGCCCCGTGAGCGGACACCTCCGCTCCAGTCCAGATCTGCTCCGTTCAGCACGGTGGAGTAGCTCCCTCACTTTCACTTTTTATTTGTCCATTTTTGAAAATTGTTTTTTTTTTTTTTGGGATAATGGATCCTTCTGGTTTTGGATGCTGTGCACCTGGATAGATTTTGATAATACTTTGCTAATTTGTTCTGATGCGTAACCATAGCAACAAGGTGGTTTACAACTGGGAGCAGCTGATTGGAAAAGCTGAAATAATCCCACAACTGAGGACAGAAAAGGAGACGTCACAGATGCAGCAAAGAGGAGAGAGAGGAGGAGGAAGTTCAAACCACCTCTGCCATCCATCGCAACGGGCAACCTGAGACTGTTGGCTGACAAGATGGATGAACTTCAAGCCCTGACAAGGACTCAGACTGTAGGAAAAGCAGTGCAGTGTGTTTAATGAGGCCTGGCTGCAGGGTTACACCCCAGACTCAAACGTCTCTCTGCCAGCCTTACACACAGATTTACAGAGCGGGAAAAGAGGAGGAGGTGGATTAGCAGCAACAACAGATGGTGGGAGACACTTCATCTCACACCGTGTGAGATGAAGTGTCTCCTCAGTCCAGACACTGACCTCTTGGCAGTGCGTCTCCGTTCATGTTATTTTCCAACATGTTTTACACTAATATCAAGGGTTCACACATCTCATAATGAAGACCATTTCTGGGAAAATCAGGTCACAACCTGGTTTTTCTGTGCTCAGATTATAAAGAACTTGTGCAGAGATTAAAGAAAATGAAACAAAGTGGCTATAGGAAGGTGAAGAAGCCTAAAGGGACGAGGCAACAGACTGGATTGCTCTTCACCAGCCACATGGAAACAGCATCAATGTCATGACTGAGTGTGTGACAGAAGTTACTAAGTTCTGTGTGGACAACAGCATCCCTACCAGAACAGTGCTTCCCTAACGACAAACTCTGGATCACCGATAAACTAAAGGAACGCCATCCCTTTCCCCTCTATACACTGTAACCTTCCAGCAGAAGTCCGACTTCTCTCATTCACAGAAATACTCAGATGACTCTGCAGTGGTCAGGTGGGTCAGAGACGGACACGAAGGCAGAGAGCCAGCCGGCCGCCTCGTGGCAGGGCGGGGAAACTATCGTCTCATCTTTATGTGAAGGAAGCAAAAGACAGGATTGTAGATTTCAGGAGAAACGGTCAGATCGACATGTGGAACCTCTGGAGATGATGCTTCAAAGAAGGATTTTTCATTGAATCTACTCAGAAATGTTCCCTAGAAACTGTGAGTCCAGAAAACCACCCTGCACATTTCGGCAAGACTCAGGTTGTCGGTGGACATGGAGCGGGCTTTCATATCATTTATTTACTGTTTTGTACCATGTTTACATACCATAACATATTTCAGAACATTGAGTCCAAGAAAAACATTGAAACTCCTTTCAAAAGCCTGGAGAACCATTGATCAGGAAGATACTGCCAACTGGAAGGAAAAGCATCAACATGTGACAAACTGGAGGTTTTGGACATTTTTGATTATCCTATAAATATTCTCCAAGAGGGGATTTAATTGCCTTATTTTTCTCAGATTTATTCCACTAGCACATGTTTATTTAAAATTCAGAGTTGAGCACGCTCACTCTCCGTCTTATCCACCGTTCTGTTTAATGACTGTTTGGCTTTGTCATAGTGTTCGACTGCCGCTGATAGAAGCATAAAGGCTGCGATAAGAACGTGAACTTTGACTCTGCTTCAGACAAATAATGTGGTAAACATGGTCATCACCTCAATAACTCCCATAAATCTCACCTGCGTCTGCATCAGGGGATGCATGGTTGTCCATCTGTAGTTTGAAGATCATTGAAGATTGTGAAGCAAGGAAGTTTGTTCCGTTTTATCCCCAAAAATCATTCTACTTGTGTTTGGGAGCTTAAATTGACCTGTTGGCTTCAGATTATGTCTTCAGAGATTATCAGGGAAAGGAGCAGAAGTTGTTGCAATTGATTGAAACCATTAGAAGAAAGGGAACCAATCTGCTGAAGCCAACCAACATTAAAGCAACTATTAATCTGGAGTCCTGTCAGAAGGCCGGCTCGGTTCTCTAGCAAACACCTCCTGTTGTCATTGCTTTCAGGGAAAAACATTTCCTGGTATCTCAGGCTCTCTCTAATAAAAGGCCTCAGATATTTTCTGCTCCATTTTCTTTACCAAAAGCTTCCAACGTGACCGTCACAGGAACTTTCTCTCCGTCATAAAACTGTAATAGAGCAACTCTGCGCCACAAACACGTCTCCCTGTCCAAGGGCCCAACCTCCTGTCGTCGACCATCACCGAGGCCACGTTTACCGTTTTACTGCCCGGCCCTCCAGGCCACTCTGACAGCATGTGCTTCCTAACCGCTCAGATTATTCTGAATCATTTCACTTAAGGGCCCAGATGCTACCTGTCTGTTGGCCTTTGCTGAGAGGGTGATTAAGGCAGCTGGTTTGGGGTAAATGCGCCATACTTCTGCCTGAGTGGCTGCGTCTCTTTATCTGTCATGTCGTGTGCACCTCGCCCCCAACGCGCCCACTTGGTGGCCACCGCCTCCTTTGTTGCTGTTGTCATCCGATGGTGGAGCCTTTACTTCTGCGTCAGAGATGAGTGCGCACCATGGAGGAAGAGCTCGGCTCGCCCTCCATCGCTGACCAGCAGAACGTGAGCGGAGACGACACCAGGATGGATGTCCAGGTGGTCTGCTTGGCTTAGACGCTCCTGTTTGATCGGTCATGGTAAACCAAGAGAAACCTTGGTTCTTCAGCAGACTCGTCTAAAGAGATGGATCTTACGGTCTTAGACTGTGTCGCTCTTTCAGTTTACAGCTTCACCTTCCTGCTGGGACTTCCTGCCAACCTGCTCGTCTTCTTCGTGTACATCCGTAAGGCTCGCAAACACGGTGCCACGCCCAACGTGGTCTACGCCCTTAACCTGTGTCTGGCCAACCTGGCACTCGTAGCCTGGATGCCCGTAAAGGTTCTAGAGACGGTGCTGAAGGACTGGATGCTGCCACCACCCTTGTGTCCGGTTTACAGCTTCTTCCTCTACTCCTCTCTGTATGTCAGCTGCCTCTTCATCACCGCCGTCACCATTGGGCGATACCTCAGCATCGCCTTCCCCATCATCTACAAGAGATACCGCCGTGCCAGACTGTCCTGCTACATTTGCGTCGCCTTGTGGGCACTGGTGATGGTGCACCTTGGGCTAAGCCTGATGGCTGAAGGCGGGGCTTATTTCATCGGTGTCCAGGATGAAGTCTCTGCCTGTTATGAACATTTCAACGCAACGCAGCTGAAGATCCTGCTTCCTCTTCGCCTGGAGATGGCCATCGTCTTGTTCATTTTGCCTCTGATTGTGACCTCCTTTTGCACGCTGCGCTGCGTCACTCTGGTGTGGCGCTCAAATTTGCCTCCTTTGGGCAAGAGGAGAGTCCTGGCAGTGGCCCTGTCCACATTGGCCGTGTTTGTGATCTGCTACGCCCCCTACAACTCCTCGCACATTGTAGGATTTGTTCAGCAGGAAAGCGTTAAATGGAGGACAACAGCAATGCTGACAAGCTCCTGCAATGTCTTCCTGGAGCCAGTGGTGATGCTGATGCTTTCACCTGTTGTGTCGAGGGGCATCCTGGGAAGAATCTGTGGCCAGCAGAGTCACATCAGGTGGAGCGATGGGAGTCGACATCGAGCGAAACCCACCAGCGGGTTTGCAAATACCAAGGTTCCACCTATAACATCTGCCAGGATGCGGGCGGAGGCCAAGGTGACGAGAGAAAGTCAAGGATGTGACGGCGAACAAAACAAATCCACCATCTTTCATATCCATGTCTGAACCAGCACAGATTTGGGAACTTTATTGTTCCCAGTCATGTTTCTTGTAGCTTTTTACCAAATGGATGAAAGAAACTGGTGATCATGACAGAGTGAGGAGTCATGATTTCACCAGTTTTCCTCATGTCAAAGTTTTTACCATGACTCTTTTATTCCCTGAGAGCAACAAACTATTATTCCTCAGGAACGTATCTTTAGGATGGATTTAAAGTTGAATTTTTACTTTCATGAAGTCTTTTTTTAAAGCAGCAGCGTCATTTGATCAGGTAAACCGATCCGTTTGTCGTCCAACTAGCAGTTACTGAAATTTTCATTTCTCTTTTATAACTGATCTACATAAAACACCCTGAACCCTTGTGCGTGCGGCGACTGAGGCAAACGTAGAGGTTTATGGAAAATGATACAGGCTTTACTTGTGTGGGGTCGGTTGGACCCCATTTGCAAGGATTTAACTACAATTTAATGTCTAAAACCAATTAATTCCATTAATATATCAATAAATGTTTCTCAATCATTAAACATAAAGTTTTTCTCAGAAACCTTGTTTGTGTTTGAGCTGCTGTTGGATTCCAAGAGTAAACAGGAAGGATTTTTAAAAACTTTTTTACTTGAACTGGATGTTTTCTGTACAACTCCTTAATGGTTTGTTTTTACAACTGATGCATTAAAAATTAACTGAATTAAATTAAATTAACTCTTATGTGTTGTCTTCTTTTTGATCCAAATAAAAACTGATGCTGGATTACGTCGTCTAACTTTAGCTAAGCATTAATTAGCCTGTTATTTCATTTTTATCTTAGCTTGGATTATTTTATTTGATCTAAGATTGTTGTATTGTAGTTCAGTTTTATTTTACCTCAGTTGAGTTTTCTAGGATTATGTTATTTTACTTTAACTTGCATAATCATAGTTTATCTGAAATTGGGCTTAGTTCACTTTATTTAATTTTCTGTGCGATCGCTTAGCATTGTTTCAAAGTTGACTTAGTTTAATTTTACTTTAGTTTTTTATACTTCCTTTCTGACTATCTTAATTTATCCTACATATTGCTTTGCTTATTATGTGGAGCTTTAGTCTCACTAACTTTGATCCAAAGATCGTCCTAAATGTGTATCTTACCTGTTTTTGTCTGATTAGCTTTTAGTTTACTTTAACATTACATTAGTTTATTTTTAAACTTTGTTTATACTAGCTTATTTTTATTTAATTTGCTGTATTGTGAGACAAATTAGCTTATTTTGTTGATTATAACATAATTGGCTTTCTTACTTTTTCTAGGTATAATTGATAATATTTTATCTTTGATTATTTATCTTATACTGTAGCTTAGCTCATTTACTTTAGCTTTGTAAAGCAAATGAGCTAAACTTTGCAATTTTCTTTTATCTTAGTTCATTTTATCTTAGTTTTCCTAGGCTTGGTTAATCTTATTTTATCTTTGTTTCTGAACTTGCTAAATATCTTGGTAGCTCAGAGCTAAATATTTAGCATGCTAACTAAATGTTTAATTTGGAGCTAAGTATTTAGCCTGGAAACTAAAAATTTGGTTTGTTGACATTTTGCTTTCAAACTAAGTATGTAGTTTGGAGCTAAATACTTAGTTACCCTCCTTTGGTTTATCTAATATTCCCATAATTTGCCTAATCTTATTTTAATTTTGATCAATTGAACGAATTCTTCTGTTTTAGTTTGGCTTAGTCTTTTATATTTAGGCCAGATTTGCTCAGTTTCACCAAAGGTTTCAAAATATTTTGAAGCAATAAAAGTACAAAATAATAAAAAAAAAACCATCAGCAAATACATTTTATATTGCACTTCAGTCGTTATAGACAGTTAACCCAAACTGGACCCACATGTGCAAACAGTGATTTCCAGCCAATATTGACTGCAGCTGTAGGTGCAATCTGAGAAGTTTGCCCCCTAGTGGTCACCAAAGTTGCCTCCTCTCCATCTCCCAGTGACTTTCACACACCGCATCCTATGATGAACTGCATCACGCCTGTCCTCCCCTCGGTTGCTGGGAGACCATGTTTAGAGAACAAATTGCGTCCTGAAGTTTATTAAATTTCCGCACTGAAGCATATTAAGCAGCGTCTTGAGTTTCGATGAAACAGTTGGACTCCCAAAGCTGGAGACGGCGGACGCAGGGATGGAGAGTTTGGATCTTCGACCCTGATCCAGGTAAAAACATCCTGAGCATCTGTTCTTGTTTTATGACTGAGCTGCAACACCTTGTTGTGATTCTGCTCTGCTGTTTTAAGGAGTGAAGCTGAAAAAGACGAGGATTTGAAGCATCTAGAGAAATCTTTCCTCTATCTTTGGTTTTCAGTTTTTCTGAACTTTCTTGTGAAAAACAAAGGTTCAGCACAGATTTGAGTCTGTTTGGAAGAGAGCAATGGAGGGTTTTATTTTGAGAAGAGTTTTACCTTTTCTAGATGAAACATTAATATTTCTCCAACCAATGAAAGCAGGACAACCAGGAAGCTTCCTGAACTGTTTTGCTTTGTTTTTATGTCAACTGAACATTTTGTGCAACCTGTCACAACTAATTTTAAAAACTGCTATAAACAATATTGTAATGCTGAGATCATTTTTCAACTAATAACATTATTTTAACTAATGCTTCATTAAACAAAACATTGAAAAAAGAAACAAAACTAAGATCATGATGAAAATTTAAGATGAAAAAAATTTATGAGCTTCAGTTTATTTTTATTTTTGACATTTTTCTCTGAGGCTGTCACAGCGCCCCCTGGCGGACCCTACGTTGAAAAACACTATCCTAAATGGTCATGTCTGTGTATTTTGTCGTTTTTTATGCAGCTTCTAGATCCGATCGGCCGCCATGTTGTGCAACCAACTGTTGCTCTCCGTCTACATCCTCACCTTCCTGATGGGGGTTCCGGCCAACATCCTGTCCTTCATCACCCTCTGCAGGAAGGTGTGTCGCAAGGCGGCGCCCATCGACGTCCTCCTCCTCAACCTCACCATCTCGGACCTGATCTTTCTGGCCTTCCTGCCCTTCAAAATGAAGGAGGCCTATGACGGCTTGAAGTGGCTGCTGCCCTACTCGCTGTGCCCGCTCACCGGCTTCATCTTCTACGTCACCATCTACAACAGCACGCTGCTGCTCACCGCCGTCAGCGTGGAGCGCTACCTGGGCGTGGCCTTCCCGCTCAGGTACGCCGTGTGCCGCCGGCCGCGCTACGCCGCCTGGGCCTGCTTCACCTTCTGGCTGGTGACGTCATGCAACCTCAGCATCGTCTACGTCATGCCGTACTCCCAGTGGAGCTACGGCGGCAACGCCAGCCCTCCCACCACCTGCTACCTGGACTTCTCAGAGGCCGACCTCAGCATCCTACTGCGCGTGCGCCTGGAGCTCTTCCTCGTGCTCTTCTGCGTCCCCTTCATCATCAGCTGCTTCTGCTACGTCAACTTCATCCTCATCCTCTCCCGCCTGCCCAATATCAGCCGGCGGCGGCGGCTGCGGTGCATCGGCCTGGCCTTCGGGACGCTGGTGGTGTTCACCATCTGCTTCGGGCCGTACAACGCCTCCCACGTGGTGGGCTTCGTCCACGGCGACAGCCAGGAGTGGCGGAACCTGGCGCTGATGTCCAGCACCCTCAACGCCTGTCTGGACCCGTTTATCTTCTACCTGTCGTCAACGGCGGTCCGTGGCGCTATAAACCGCTGCTTCAGGAGGGTCACCGCCAAGATGCACATCCTGGGGTGTGGAGGGCCTCCGCAACGCAAACCGCAGAGTGGGGACCGGTTCCGGGCAGAAGCTCCACCCTGAAGACCCGACTTCATTTAATATTACGGACAGAGGCGGAAGATGTTCTAACAGCTGTTATTAGACCGCAAGATGATGCTGTTCTGTGGGACTGATCGGAAAACTCTGGTGGTTTAATGTTTTAATTTAGCGTTCCGATTAATTAATTACATCGATTTATGTAACACAATTAATCACTTTTTATAATTACAAAAGTTCCGGGCTGGAACCTTTGTATGGACGCGTTTCTGGGGCGCCCATAAATCTGACGTACAGCCGCTAAAAATAGCAATGGAAGCTGTTTCTCTCAGCCGACTGGAGTTTAATTTCTGCTTCTAAGACGATTTGATTGGACGCTGGGAAAGAAAATTGTTGCGTTCAAGTTATGCTAAAAGTAGTTAGCCTGTCAGCGAAGCCTAAAATAGCATCTCAATGCTAAACATGTTGCTAATGCTAATGTCAGAGGCCATTGAAGGTCCATGAATGATCAGGGCTTCCTGAAACTCTGGAAAGTTGAGTGGATAGAAGAGATGAAATAAACTATAGATATCTTTGTTGTTGAGTTTATATGTCTACTTATTCAACAATTTAGCAAATATTGCTTATTTTTTGCTATGATTAACTAACAGCACAACATGCATATTGGGCTTTGTGATATATTGTGCAACCTGATTTTGTTCCTTATAAAACATGTATCCGATGTTTAATTGTATCAGTTATAAACCTTGATTCAAAAAAGCTCCAGATGGAAATAGACAAAATGTATGAAGCTAAATTGGGGCCATAAAGTTTAACAAAAAGCACTAAAATTGAATAAATGCAACATCTGGTCATATTCGAGTCGTCAGTGTGGCTGACAATTCAAATGTGGTTCCACACCTTTTGTCATCAGCACCAAATAGGGCCAGAAGTTTAACACGGAAAAAACCTCTTTAAACCGACATTTCAGTTTCACCTTTAGGTTGTTTTCCCACCTGATAGTCCAGAAAACTCGGTTTGACTGAAGACCAAATCAGCAACATTTGTTCCTTCTCCACCTGCTGTGGATCTGAGTCAGTCCCGAGTTCTGAGTTGGATTTTAAGCTCCTCTGGGAGCAGCAGTGATTGGTTCTGGATCCAGACCAGCTGCTAGAACCTTCCAGCCGCTCCGTTACATTTCCCACCTCTCCCAGCTCTAACTGAATCCCCATCAGGACAGTAAACATGGACGTTGTGTTTACCCTCACACCACCTGCCACTTCCTGACAGTAAGCAGCTACAATCTGATCCCGGGTCAGTGTTTGAGGAACCTTCAGGTGTTTACATCTGAATGCGTCACCTCCATGTTGACTCTGCCTGGCAGCTCATAAAACATCCTGTGCTTTTAATTCGCTCCCATAAAACACTTTGCTTTAATTTGAAACTGTGATTCACTTCCTGTGATGTTTGAACGGCTATCTGGTTCCACACCTTCAGACATGAAAGGATCATCTACAGAAAGCCTAAATATAAAATGTATGCCACACATTTAAGATTTTTTTCTAAATAAAGCTAAAGAAACATTTTTGTTCTGCTCTCTGTTGATCTATGTAAAAAATTCCAAAGAAATTCACAACTTGTTTGAATCTCTTTATTCAAAAAAAAATTAAATAGCACAAATAAAAAGGCTCAAAGATCAGACCAGGAGGTAAAACATCCAGTTTTACAGTATCAGGATGCAACATGAATATATAGAGAAACCCAAACATGTTTGTTTTTAAGTGCAGCCTGCAGAGATTTATTCCTTCATGTAGAAACAGAGTCCAATGGCCCCCTGCAGAGTTCTGACCCGTTATTGCTGTTAATTAAAAACATAAAAAGAGGAAATGACACCAGGGGGCGCTGCAGCCCACACACAGAAAACGTGAAATAAATAATGCTACATGACAACCAAAGCGGTACCGGTTCCGCTCAAGTTTCCACAATCATCTTTTTTTATTTTTTTGGTCCGGTCTACTCCGAACCTTCAAGTTCTGCATATTATTATTATTTTTTTATTTACTTGGCATCACACAAATATTACAACATGGACACATGTTACAGCAAGGTCACAGAACCAGAACTTCATCAGCACCATCAGCAAAAGGCACAAGTCCGGAGCGGTCACTCGGGTCCGACGGTAAACTTTAGAACCTCCCCTCTCTAATCACAACAGAACCTCTGAGCAAAACGTCCTGGTGAAGAAATTATCCATTTTCTGGTTCTGGAGTTTGAAACTGAAGCAGATTTTAATTTTTAATAAGCACCACTTAAATTTTACAAGATAAATTAAATAATACATAACCAAACTGCAAATAAAATGGATGAACGAGTGTTTTCGACACTGGATTAGTTTCAGAAATTAGCAAAAAATAAACATTATTTTATCATCATTTTAAAATATATTAACCCCTTCATGCATAGTGGTCACTACAGTGGACAGCTGTCTTAAAGCCATTTTCTTGTGCTTCTTGTGGATTTTTATGTTATAAATGCACACAGACCACTGAAGTGGACATTAATGCATCTTAAAATACACCAGTAGCAACTTGCCATCAGCTGCAAATGCAAGAAATTATTTTTGTTTAATCCAATATGGCCGACAAACAAAAAAGCATGCTGACCGACCCGTTCCCTCCTTCTACTGTAGATGACTTTTGCAGGTAAAAAAAATATTGACATCAGATAACCCCCAAAGAACAATATTACTGATGTATTTTTTAAATAACAACTTTGTATTTGGAGAAAATTACAACTGATCACCTAAAAGAAATAAAATTAAAAAAAATATATTTTTTCTTTGTACAAAATGTTTTTCCTACCTTTTTTTATGCCTTAAATAAAAAAAATTGGAAAAAAATTCTGACACAAAGGATCATAATTCATGCATGAAAGGGTTAAAATATGAGTTTTTTTCAAAGTCAAAGATGAGGAAGTTGTCATTTATAGAGAATAAGAACCCCAGATGACGTCATTAAGGGAGTTCCGTATAATCACAAAAAAAAAATAAATTTGATTGTTTCAGTTTATTTAAACTTTTTAAAACTTTTTTTAATGTCTGCTCATCCCTTTTTGATAAAATCGACTTAAATATTTTATTTAAAAACAAAAAACCTATTTTACCAAAACGTATGAACCTAAAACTCTCAGTTCAAAGCCTTTCTATCATACCCCAACCTGATTGGACGGTGGCAATTCAAACTGTCCAATCACAGCTGAGCGGTTTCAGAAACACAGCTGCAGGTCCCGGAAGGGAAATAAAAAGTTTTGAGAAGTTTGAGTAAAAAAAAAAAAAAAAAAAGCCACTGAACCAGAATGTTCCAGAATTTCTTCCTGTTTTATAAAGAATCAAACCATCCATCGTCTGATTGGACAGTTTATTCTGTTATCATCCAATCAGGTCCAGATCTAAAATGCTAAAAGTTTTTAACAATTTTTCTACCGACAAACTTAAATATTTCAGACTTTTTATCTGAAAGGTTGATAAAATTTAAAACCTCTTGATTTCTAAACATTAATATCATAAACTCCTTTATTTTATTTTTTTAAATAGAAAGTGTCTAAACGTGCATTTAGTTCATATTTTAATTATAAATATATCTTCATACGGATTCAAAATGCTTAAACTGAAGGAGATTAAAGGCATCTGTGAGACAACGTACTGCCTGCGGGTTCTAGAGGTCCGTTTCAGTCCCAACCGGTCCAATACGTTGGTACCGACTTCAAATATTCTTCAAGTAAAAGCGGATGCGAGCAGACTGATGGACGCGGCGAGCCGATCGGTGAGCAGGCACAGCGGTTTGGTCCGAGTGGTGAAGCCCCGGCGGCTTCGTTTGGGTTAAAGTCCAGAGGCTCGGCGGCACTGCGGCAGGAAGCCGCACAAATCTCATCCATTGCATAACGAGACGCTGCTGCTCCATCAGAAAGTCCGGTTTGAGGCTAAAACGCGACAACAGGAAATAAAACCGCCACAGACAAACACCGACCAGTTTGGCATCATAGATCTAAAGTTTGGAGATTAATTCGCAGAAAACAATAAAATTATAAACATCTGCAGTCCTGTAAGTCAGGCAGAATCCGTCCAATTAAAATGTTCCCTTTCGTACCAGCTGATCACCTTCTAACCCAATCAGGCACTTTGATAAAGACGACCAATCAGAAGACGGAGTTCAGCCATTAGAAACCGTTTCAGTACACAGACAGGAAACCTTATTGCACCGGAGGAGTTCTGCAAGTCCGAACCGGAAACAAAGATCCGAATCAGGAGAATTTCAGGGAAAAATAAGAGAAAAAATCGTAAATTTCAGAAAAATATGACAGTGTATTAGGGCAACAGTGGGTAGGAAAAATAGGAGTAAATAATAGCAAATTTCCACCAAAACCTTTTTTAGGAAAAACAAGAAAATTGTTGAGCTCAAAAGTAAATTTAAATTTGTAAATTTAAAAATGTAAATTTACTAGAAGAATTTTGATAAATTTTCTTAATAAAAAAATAAAAACTTTTTTTGGGGTGTGCTGTGGTGGCGCTGGGGTTCAGCACAACCCTCATATGGAGGCCTTGGTCCTCAACGTGGCCGTCGCAGGTTCGATTCCCGGCCTGGCGACCTTTGCCCCATGTCTTCCCCGTCCCTCATTACCCACTTTCCTGTCTAACTCTTAAACGGAGGCCACTAGAGCCATTTGGAAAAATGGAGTTTCCAAACATCAAAAATGTTCCACTTTTGAAATTTTCCAGAAAAACATGAAAGTTTCTGAGTTTTTAATTTTAAAAACTTAAAAATTTTCAATGTTTGAATCTGAGAAAAAGCATAAAAAGTAGAAAATTTGTGACAAAAAAAACCTGACCTTTGACTTTCATCTAGATTTTTTTTAGATTAAGCTCAAAATTTCTGAGCATTTTGTAGCAAATTTGTGACTTTTCTAACTGAGTCAAAAAGTCTTCAATGTTTTTTCCAAAATTCTCAAAATTTCAGCGTTTTATGGTGGATATTTACTCTTCTTTTCTCTCTCAAATGGCCGTAACACGCTGTCGTAGAAAAACACAAACAGAACTTCTGAAGCTCTAGATCTAGCGGTCGCTCACAGAGGGGCGCCGCCAATCCGGCTCTGATCAGGTTTCAGCAGCTCAGCGGTGGGACCAGAACCGCCCCCTCAGGCGAAGTACATGGTCCTCAGGGTGTCATGGTGGATCTGCACGGCCTTGGCCAGCGCCTGCGGGTCTCTGCCGTTGCTCTGCCCTGAGATGTGGCTTCCCTCGGCGCTGAGGCAGCAAACAGAAAACACCATGAGACACCAAACGCATCACCACTGACCGGGAAGCTGCCAGGGAAACCGGGTTCTCCCGGTTTAAAACCTTCAATATGGAGGACAAATCCTGACAAAACTGGAACTAAAGACAGAAATAAATAAAGGCTTGATGAAATCACTAATGTGAGAAATATTACATCTAAAAATTACAAAGAACTTTCCCGACTTATTTGATTATCTAGTGTAACATTTTTTTATTGTATTATTTTTTATGATTTTCTAAGAACCCATTATGTTAATTAGTTTTTATATA